CCAAGCAACGCATCGAGATGAAAAACTCCAATAAATAAAGGCAACTCTCTCGCTGTATACCGTGCTCCGTTGCTGGTGCTGCTTCTGCTGTTGTTGTTACTGCTGTGCAATGTGTATATACATCGAGGATAGTATCTGTGTTTTCCTCGCGCTTCAAGAATTCCCTTCTTTCCGCATCGCTTTCCTACAAATTCTTCGATTAAACCGTCTCTCTGCTATACTCGTACATTTCTCTCTCTCTCTCGCTTCATTCTCGACTCGCGAGAGATACCGACTGTCTATTTAATCCATTGTTTTTTCGCCCGCGAGTTGACCGATTACCGGCGAGCGCGTGCGCGCGCGGAAATTTCATTCGGCGTCAATAGCTTCTCCTCGACACGGGAGACACGCTACTACTATAGCAGCGGCTGAAACTGTTTCTCTTAATAGTTTCAAAGACTGAAACAGGGTCATCGGTGAAGATGAGAAAGAAAAAAAAAGGCTAGAGATGAGCTTTCTCTTTATCTCTTGTATGTACCAGTGTGCTTGGGCGCCATGCTGCGTAAGAGAGAGAGAGAGAGAGAGACCTTTTTTTCCAATTTAATTTTCAGGAAACGAGCTACAGATAAGAATCCGCTCGCTAAGAGAGAGATAGTTAAGTCAAAGAGTTTTTTCTTTTTTTTTTTTCGAAAAACTTGGCTGCGTTATAAACCAAGTTATCTGTAGCACGGGCAAAATTCGCGATTCCAAACGAGCGCCCGTTATATATAGCTACTTTTTCTTGAGTAAATAATGAAAACGTGATCAAAGCGAGCGAAATTGTTGCGATATAATTCAATAATAACTCGTTACTCTGCTTCACCCCTCTCCCTTTCCTGCCTTCCATACACATATACACTCGTTCGATCTTTAATTTTTTCTCGACACATTTGATAAAATAGAAAATATAATGCGGCCAAAAAGTGACCATGCACATATACACGAACGCATTAGTACTCGGCTCTTGTTAGTATCTCTCTCTCTCCATTTAAAATTTCGGAATATGCATAAATTTGTTTGAGTGCGATGTGCGAGTGTGTGTGTGCGCGCAAAAAGCAACGTTCGCGGGCTCTTCGGGAAGAATTGAATTTAAAATCGTTATATATACCACGCGTGCAGGAGGCCGGCTTCGCATTGCACAGCGCAATTGCGAAAATTATCATCATCCCTGCGCGCCGAGCTTTTTGCGCCGTATAATGTAACAACGCGCGGCTACTCTCTCCATCCCCCGTGTTCTCTAAACAAGCTATTTTACGAAAATGAAAAGCCCTTTTTTTCATCAATTTGCAATTTGCGAGGTGAAAAATCACGTCGTGTTTGTAGCAGCCATGGAGGAGGGAAGGAGGGAAGGAGAGAGGTACGTACGCGCGCAGCATTTGTTATCACGCGCGCGTGTTCCGTGTCTCTCTCTCTCTCTCTCGCTCGAGCTAGCTTTTATATACAGCGGCTCCGTTTTTAGCTAATTGAAAAATTTCATATTTATGCGAACAATTTGCGTCCTTCTCTCTCTCTCGCGAGCGTTGTCTTATAACGTGTCGTAATTAATGGGACACACATTCACGTAGCTGCAGCCCGCTCGTCGCTTAGTCAGTACGAGCACGAACGTTTGTTCTCTTATATATTTTCCGACTTTTCAGCGATTCTCTCGATTATTCTCAAGTATATCTTTATTTCCTCTTGGCTGGGAAATTTTTGTCCACCGGCTCGCTGCTCTCGATATTGTTCCGTCTCTTCGTCGTGCCCCTTTTCTTTTTCCTTAATTTCCTCGGGGCTGCCAGAGATCTCTGCTAGATTAAGACTTGAATCGGTAGTGGGTGCGCGCCCGGCTTGGCGAGAAAAATTCACTTAATTACCCTCGGCGCGAGATAAAGCAGCAGGTGTATAAGCTGTGCGCGCAGGGGAGCCACTGCTTCTATAATATACACGCGGCTCGTATTGTGTAGTCTTGAAAAGTCTTATATGCATTCGCGCGGGTAGTAGCTACACGATTTCGGAATCGCTTTAATCAGTCAAATTGACTGTGCTCTCCAGCGCGCGATAATTATTAATTGGCAAACTTGGGGGGCGCCGCCGTGTGCGTGCGCAATAAGCTGCTGCCGCGTTACCCAATAATACGCGATTCCTTTGAGATTTAGCCATTATAGCACGCTCGCGCGCTCGCTCGTACGTGCGCCACCGTTGGCCGCGTAAATTTTCGTAACGTAAACAGATCCCGAAACAGCGGCAGCAGCAGCAGCAGCAGCAGCAACAACAACAACAACAACAACAAACAACAACGATAACTGCGGCAAAGCTGCAAAGGCAGCAGTAGCGAGAGTAGCATACACGCCCCTAGCCCCCTAGTCGAGGGTGTGGAATATCGACATTCGAGTGAAAAATGGGCTCATCTTCGTATCATCAGGGCCGAAAAACCTCGCAAACAATTTTGCCAAGCTTTTCCTCTACGTGTGTATGTGTATACACATCGCTCGAGTCTGACGGCAGCTTGGATGGAGAGAGAGAGAGAGAGAGAGAGAGAAAAAAAAGCCCGTCCGACAGGCTTTTCCAGCTTTCACTCGGTTGCCGCTATATATGTGTGTGTATATACGCTGCTGCTCTGCTCTGCTCTGCTCTCATAAAATAAAAGCCAAACAACGAGTCTCTGCTCTAGGCTGACTCTCTGCTTAGCTATATATATCTATACAGAGTGCACTTGGTGCTGCTGCTGCTGCTACTAGGCTCCGCATGCGTATGCCAAGTCCAGACGCTCGCTCTGCTTGCGCGCGCTCGTCTCTCTCTCGCTCGCTCTTGGCAGTAAGCGGCGCAACGATAAATAAATACCGCATGGAAAATTCTTCCGAGCTTCAAGGGTGTGTCAATCTTTTTTTTCCTCGTCCTCCTTCCTCTTTTCTCTCCTTTTTATTCCTGCCAATTTCCTGCAATTTCAATCTATGTACCTGAGCGGATGTGTACGTACGCATACGTATATATCTTCTGTGTGTGTATATATCGCGTATGTGATGATATGCATGGCTTTTTTCTTCGACAATACTCCGTTAGACTCGGGTGTACGCGCGTGTGTGTGCATGCACATATGTACCATATACAGAGTGAGAGAGGAGCATAATGCGGCGAGATGATACTAATCCGGATTGCGTAGCTGCTTGAGTGTGACGTTATACGAGCGTGCCGCATTGGATTGTGTGCTAATGAGAGAGCACATGTGCTGCTGCTGCTGCTGCTGTTACTATACCACTGGCCATTCAGCAGATCTACGTAATATACGGAGAATTTTCGATTCCTGCCGAGCTCAGCGGAATTAAATATAACGCGTGTGTCGTATCGCCGCAAAACCCCGGACGATCCTCTGTTACATGCTATTTCGTCGCCGTCGTCTCCTCCTCTTTGATTTCACCCTGCGCGCATTGTGACGAGATTATTACGGACTCCGGCCTCGACTTCCCATAACATACGCTGTTATTGATATTTTTAATCATTTTCATCAGTCAAATGTTGTTTAGTGTACAAGCTATATAGCGGGACGGGGTTTTAAAGCAAAATTTGCTACTACGAGCTTATAAATATTCCAAAGCGATGTTGATCGAGTTTGCCTCTCTCTCTACCCCAGCCGTATATACGTACGCCGAGTTTATGCTCTTATGGCTTTGATTCACGAGGTTTGATCGTTGTTCTCTCTGCAGAGCCGTATAGTGCGCGCGCGCGTTATATTGGCAACGCTACGTATAACGTACCTACATCGCGTACACACGCTAAAGTCTTTATCGAATTACATCGATGCAATGTATAATAAATACCATGTTTATACATGAAATTATCGATCCCTGTGTGTAGCGTATATATATATAGTTGAATTTAGCCAGAAGTTGTAATCTCGCAAAGCTTCGCTGATTTTTCAACCGCAGTTCGCCGCGCGCGTATACAATGGATGATCGACTCCAAGGGCTCCAGTTTGTGTTGCGTGTGTACATCGGCGAAATTATATTCTCTCGGCTCGTAGGAGCTTCCCAATGCGGATCGATATAACGACGAGAGATTTAAAAATGAAAAGAAAAAAAAATAACAGAACGAAACAAAAGAACAAACAGCAGTTCTAAACTCGTCGTCGGGCTTTATGATGCGTGACAAAACGAGCCCATCTCTTTTTCTATGCGCGCACCCACCCACCCACGCGCGCGCGAGTTCAATTTAGTTCGTTTTTCTTTTTATTTCATTCTTATAACGATGCCACCGCTGCTGTTGCTGTTGTCTGTCTCGTCGACTATTGACGCATATATGCCGCGTATATCGTGTAACGTCAATTATCGGTTTGTGTGTCACCGACGACGACGACGACGACGACGAGAGTCTGGCATTTAAAGAGCCTCGGCCGCAGTTGCTCGATTCAGCTCAAGCCATAAATTAATTACCGCAACACCTACAGGAATACACACGCACTTGTACTCTTTGCGTTTGAGCGCGCACGTCTCTACGTGCACGAATGTCTGTGCACTGTACTGCGAGAGTACTGCGCGCGTCTCGTCAAATACTAAACGTCGTCTTGCCGAGAGAGAGAGAGAGAGAGAAAAAAAAATGAAACAAACAAAGTGTACAGTCACGTCGTCTTTTTTTTCTCTCTCTTCTTCTTTAAGCGGCGAAAGAGATAAAAAGTGCGAGAAGAGCTAGTAGCAAGCTCGCGCGTCGACGTCGTCGTCGTCGTCTAATTAATTAGTGCATCATTGCGAAAAACTTGCGTTCTAGAAAAGACAAGAGATGGAAAATTGAATTGGCTTCCAACTGAAATTCTTCTTCTTCTTCTCTTTTTTCTCCCCTCTCCCCCGCTTCTTCCTCTTACTCACTTGCACTCGAGCTTTGAGCTTTACACGCCTTTTATCTTTTCTGCCTGCCATAATACGCGAGAGCGAATATCCACGCAGTTTGGAATGTCGAAGAGATTTTATAAATGACTGATTCTCATTCTGTTCCGTTTGTTTTTCTTGTTGCAGGATGGCTGCGGAGGCGGCGAGCAAAAAGGCCGAACGCGAGGCTCTGCGAGGTGTCATACAGCAATGGAACGCCAATCGTCTCGATCTCTTCGAGCTTTCGGAGCCGAACGAGGTGAGTTATACATACTGTTATATTATACCTATATGCGATATGGAGGCGTACAAACACGGGTTACACGTCTCGCGCCCTCATGCCAAACGGCGCACTTGATCATATGCGCGCGCGCGGTATAAGGCGAAAACTTTTCCAAAGAGCTCGTCCTAAATATTACATCACGTGCAGTGGATCTTTTATTCTGCCTCTCTCGACGTTTAATACTCGCGCAGCAGGAGCTGGAGAGAGAACTCGAGTTTGGTCGTACGTCTAGCCGTTTGAGTGACAAGTTAGAATCTGCTACTCTGTATACGCCACCCCCGCGTCGTTCACGTATACACACACGACGCGTATAGAGAGCGTATATATACTCACTGACAAGTGAGAACATGAGCAAAGAGAGAGAGAGGGTGAGAGAGAGAGGAAGAGCGAGAAAAATCTCGACTGATGCTACTGAAAAAGTAAAAAAGAAGAAGTATTAGACTCGGTTTCCTTCCTTCCTCCTCTTCTTCTTCTTCTTCTAGATCTTCGACGCATATATACGTGCACCCTCATTTTACCGTAAAACGTTTACTACCGCTGTTACTTTTCATATTTAATGACTTTTTCAACTCGAGCACTCTCTTTCTTTTTTTTTTTTTTTTTTTTTTTTTTTTTTTCNTTTTTTTTTTTTTTTTTTTTTTTCATTTTATTTTCAACTTTTTGAAAAATTTCTCGCCTCCGCGCACCGTGTGTATAATTGCGCAAAAGATTATATATTTTTCTCCTCTATCTCTTTGGTAATTTATTTGTATACGTATATATCGCGGGGCACAACTCAACGCGTCGAGTAAATCAATTCTGCAGCCGCTCACGGTGAGCTCCGCTCACGCAGACGCGTATAAATCTTTCGATCAATCGCGCGCACCGCATCGCCTGCTAGGCTGCATACGCGCTTTATATGTGCGCCGCAGTATTTATATATTTATATACACACACACACACACACACACACATATAATATATATTCGGTGGTTCGTTGTTAAGCCGATTTTCGAAGCTAAATGCCAAGGCTTATATATCTCTCTCTCTTCGTTTCTCTCACCCTGCTGTATAATACTATTTTTTATCGCTTATACTGTCTCTACCTATAGAAATGCCAAACAAAAAAGGCCATCGATAATGTAAGTTTAATCGATCTCTTTTCTCTCCTGCGCTCCTTTTCTTTCTGACGTGAAATTCTGATGGCTCGTTGGCTAAGGAAGTGAATCCTTGAAAAATGAGCCGGCGAGTAAACGCGATAATCGTAGCTTTTGTGCCCCAGAAGCATCTAGTCTGCGCTAGACCTGATCCCATATTACCCGAAGAGGAGGCGAAACTGCTCACATCTTCGTACTAATGCAAGTTCGCGCCCTCGTAAACATCTTTGGAGCTCCCCAAAAAGTGCTGACTTATGTTAGGCATCTCTGTTAGGTTTCCGGTATGAACAGTTTTTTGAATTTCGGAGTTTTTGCATATTCAAATAAAAACATTAAAAATATTAATATTTTACTTATTTCTCGAATATATTTATCGAATGAAAATTAACTTGACTTACAATAAGCTGGAAACTATCTGAGGAGTTTAAAATAATAAAAACATTTACATTATAATGAATTAAAAATTGAATAAAAAAAATTTTAAAACTTAATTTAAAATTCGTAGCTAAAAATTTAAAAGTCAGGTGCAAAATAGCTGCAAGATGCGAAACTTCTTTACGAACAATTCCATTACAATTAATTTAAAATTCCAGCAAATTAACAAATTCAATTTAAATTTAAAATAAAAACAACGTAAGAAAAATAATCCAACCAAGAAGTACAAGCTATCCGAAGTTTAACTTCTGGTGATTTTATTATTTTATATCCGTCGAATCGTTTTTTTCATCATTTGGGAACGGGGCAAAGATTTTGCTCGTAAATCAAAGCGCATTTCATGAAAATATTGCATTTTTCCTCCTCCCCTCTCTCTTTTGTACCCTCAAGCTCGCCGTGCATTGTATCGCATGTATGCGCGTATTTATGTATACATTTTTTTGCGGTCGAAATTTGATAAAAACCGCTGGGCGTGTAGCCCGTGGGTATATATCTATATCCTCGCGCACAGACACACACACACACACGACGCTGACAAGAGCTCTTTTTTTCGATATTTAATCTTTTAAAACGCGCTCGCGCGTATATGACTGCAATTTTTGACATGCTTATATGTGTACGCGAAGGGAGAGAGAGAGAGAGAGAGAGAGAAAGATTCGCGTATGGACACGAAAAAGAAAATACGGTACGCCTACGAGCGGGAGCTTTTTCCGTCTCACGTTACGAAAGCCGTGTTTATATTATATTATGTTTGCTTTTTTTTCTCTCTCTCTCTTGAAAACAAATACACACACGTAACAATGTCGGTTATGAAAATTGTAACGCTCAGACTAATATACTCCGCTCGTTTCAATTTCAAACAGGATCTGGAGTTTCACGGGGTGATGCGCTTCTACTTCCAAGACAGCGGCCAGAAGGTGGCGACGAAATGCATCAGGGTCGCGTCGGACGCGACGACTCAGGCCGTCATCGAGACTCTCATCGAGAAATTCCGCCCGGACATGCGTATGCTCTCGGTGCCAGAATACGCCCTCTACGAGATACACGAAAACGGAGGTGAGTCTCGATATTTTGCACACAATGTGCACCATAATAATAATAATAATAATAATATAATAATAACGTGCGTCTCGAGTATATAGTCGCTTACGTATATATCTATCGTTATCGGGCTTTGAAGCGCGCGAGAAAAGTGTCGCGCCTCGGCATAAGTGTATAATATATGCTTCAGCTCTCTTCGCGCAACATCCCACATAGAGAGTTTCGGAGACGCGCATTACAAACATAATATAAACGGATATACATATGCATCTGATCGTTTCGAGTGCGCGCATACATACACACGTACACGCGCGCTCATATTTAAGAGCGAACGCGAAGCTCGTGCCGAGAGTGTGCGCCCCGCGCGTCGTGCTCCGCCGCCAGGAAGCCAGTTTCTGAGAAAGTTTTCACGAAGGAAAGTTCCGAAACTCAATATACATATATGAAGCATCGAGCACACATCATCGCCCGCACACTCGTACCTATATAGACGCGCGCGCCAAGAGTCGTATTATATGCGCGCCTATCTGGATCAGCGTTATTATGATTTTTCTTTCATCCTCTAACGAGTTTCGCCGAGTTTTATTTTTAACCCGCGTTATACCGATGTACACATACATATAGGGATAGCGCATTACGAGCGCGACTGCTCGCGCATACGTCGTAACAGTTCAAATCAAGGAATCAAGTACTTAGTATCAGCATATTTAAGCTGTTGGCTCGTACTATAGTACTAGCAGTAGTAGCAGCAGCAGCAGCAGTAGTAGTATAGCGGCAGCAGTCGAGAGTATACTAATTAGACGAGAATTCCAAACATGCTGAGGTGTATTATGTAAATTTCGCTGCCGTGTCATAATCCCTGCGCCGCAGAAGTGAATCCATAGTTGTATACCAACTATAATATGCGCACAGCGACTCCTCCCCCACCCCACCCCCTTTTACCTCATGCATGCGTGTTATGTATACAAGTGTGTGCACGCGAAATTTTTAATTTTCGCTCTCTCTCTCTCCCTCGCCAAAAAAATGCACGAGTGCGAGAGAGAGAGAAAAGAAATTCAACAACTTTTTGCGCGGCTCGCGACGCTCGCTTTTTTTTCTCGCGGCTTAACAGCAGCAGCCGCAGCAGCTCAAGCCTCGCGAGCCCGCGCGGAGAAAAAGTCTAGTTCTTCGTTTTCGCAAAATATACGCGACGTCGTCCCATTATGCGCGGTTTATATTCGAGTTCCTTTTCATGCGAGACACACGTATTACACATATACATAAGCGTATATAATTAATATTCTTGTGTGCGGTTGTTAAAAGACGAGTCCTTTCTCTCTCGAGTTAGCTGCCGCTATCTACCTGCCTGCCACTCATGACCTTTCGCTTTAAAAATGCGGTCTATGCTTCGAGCCTGTATATATAGGTATATATATACGGCGTTAATACTCGCGACGGCAGGTAGCAGCAGAGCTCCTCTCGCTTTTATGAAAATTGCACCGCGCGCGATGATATTCAGCGACTGTGCACACAATTTACGAGTACAGTGCACAGCGCGCGCAGCCAGTATAAGCTGCCGTCGCTCATTTTTTCCCCCTCCTGATCTCATAATAACGACGTTGTTTTTTTCTTCTTTGCCAACAGAGGAGCGGAAACTCGGCCTCGAGGAGAAGCCGCTGCTCGTCCAATTGAACTGGCACATCGACGATCGCGAGGGCCGCTTCCTGCTGAGGCGAATCGACGACAAGACCAACGCCCAGGGCGTCGGCTTCGCCGAGGGCGGCTCGAGCTTTCGACGTAAGCTCAGCAAACGCGAGAAGAAGCAGATGAAGAAGCAGGAGAAGCTCAGCAGGCTCAAGAGCGCCGAGCAGCAGCAGCAGCAGGACGAGAACGTCGCGCCCGTCGATCAGAACGGCGTGGCCGAAAAATTGTACACCGGTAAGTCGTTAAAAGGAGCGCGAGGATAAAAAGTAAACATGAGTTCGTAAAACATGCTGCATCGGGAGAGAGAGAGTGCGAGATGGGGTGGAGAAAAATCGATCGATCGATAATAACTCTCGCGAATCGAGGAAAAAATTCGTTCGAACTTGGCGCTGGTGTTTACGCAGCGATTTGCATGTTACAACGAGCCCCCAGCCTCGCAGCAGCAGCAGCAGGCAACGAGGCTGGCAGCGCATTTCAGTCGAGCGTGAAATTACTAGCGAATAATCGAGAGAGAGAGAAAAGAGAGTTAACGAAAAAAAGCCCTTCAATTTTTTTTTTATTTTACCCCCTGGCTCGAGTGTACATATTATACCTGCGCAAGCTCTCTCGACGAATAATCAACACCTGTTTCGCGCTGCTCATCAATCGCTCGGCTCAACTCGTTGTTGCTTTTTTTTTTTCTTTTGCTTACTTTTCTTTATTAGCTCGACGTGTGTGTGTGTGAGCAGCAGAGTTACACGACGTGTGTGTTATGTAAGCATTTTTGTGCGCGTGTGTTGATGCAGAGAGAGCCAAAGGGCCAAACGTCGTAGTCATAGCCGTCGTCGCAGTCGCGCACGAGCATCGATTAGCCGAGCCGCCGGTTGCCATAGAATGGTCGAAATTGCCAAGGGTGCACTGCCTCTCTACCCCAGCCGGGCTCCTCTATATACGGCGGTACACGCACACACACACACACACACACACACTACGTATGCATTTACATATATCTACATAGGAGCTCAAGAGCTGTTGCTTTGAGGCCGCGAATCGATAATTTTCTAATCGCGGAGCCGCCACGCCGAGGAAGAAGGGTCGTCGACGCAACCGAGACAGGGAGAGAAAAGCTAGACCGGCGTCGTCGCAAGTTCGATCGAACTTTGATGAGCTTTATATAGCCGATCAGACGCGCGACTTTGGAGAACTGCCATATAATATAATATATAGCGCGTTTGCGGCGTCCTGGAAAATAATAAATTGCGAAATCAATTAAATTCCTTCGGAATCGAGCTCGACGCTCCGCTGTGCATAAGTAAAATTGTACACATCGCTTATTAACGACCGGACCACATCCACACACACACACACACACACACACACACACACACACACACACACACACACACACACACACACACACACACACACACACACACACACACACACACACACACACACACACACACACACACACACACACACACACACACACACACACACACACACACACACACACACACACACACACACACACACACACACACACACACACACACACACACACACACACACACACACACACACACACACACACACACACACACACACACACACACACACACACACACACACACACACACACACACACACACACACACACACACACACACACACACACACACACACACACACACACACACACACACACACACACACGCACATGCAAACAACACACATAACGCGTGTAATATACAACGTTCGCGTTAATATTAATTATGCTAATCGATGGCTTCGCTCAGCATCGCGATGGATATATTGGAATGCCGTCGGGTTAGTAGGTTGCCTGCGATTGCAGTCTATGCGTTACACGCGCGCTTCAAAGGAGGCGGGGACCCCCGGTAGCCACCACAGCGGCACACACAGAAGCGCGTATAATATACACATCTGAGAAATTCCACAACAAATATACAGAAAAACGCGAGCGAGCGGGGATTGCTTATTTTTTCTTCTTCGTTTTTTTTTTATTTTCGTCACGCCTGTTATAATGTCCGTAATAACACCGGCATCGACTCGCTTCATATTGTTAATTTACTCGTACACGTATAAACATACGCGCGACATATACAGAGAGAGAGAGAGAGAGAGAGAGAGAGCGCGGAAACGTGTATACACGTATATAGGCAGGCGTGTGGCTTTTTTGCCCAGTTCGTTTCCGCAAAAGCTTTTCCTCGGTGTAGTAGCAGTTTACCTCGGAGCTACTACACACACGTGTATTCGTGCGTGCCGTATTCCCCGAGCAAAGAGTAATAATAAAACGTTTCCTTTTTTCCCCCCTCCTACCTCTCTGCTCCGCTCTGCTATATGGTCCCGCGCGTTTATACACGCACGACTGACAGATTTCCTTTTTACTTTTTATTTCTAAAGCTTCGGCGGTGTACACGTATCGCGCGCGCACGCAGCCGAGCTTTTTTCCTATCCCCGCCCGCCCGAGCCCGCCTATACCGTCATATCTTAAATTTTTGTCCACCCCACCCTGCCGCTTTCGTTTCTACGTACCTTTTGCTCGCTGAAAATCAAAGCGTCAAAAGCGATCCGTGTGTACATTTATATATAAAAATATGCGGGAGAGTCAAAAGAAGACGAAGAACGAAAAAAACTGGCACATCAAAGTGACGTGGTGGCAGTGTGCAGAGAAGCTCGGGCAATATGGAGCATAGTTCGGGTAAACTATTTGCCTTCGCGACAGTACCGATAGCTCCCGTGTATATCTTTAGGCTCGCCTCGGAAAAGCTCCCCGAGTAGTAACTTGGCCGACCGTCCGTCTCTCTGTCTCTCTTTCGCTCTCCGATGCAGCAGCAGCAGCAATTAACACGCGTGTCTAAGCGCCTTTGCGGCCCCCAAAGTATATATGACGATCGGCTCCGAGGAAAACCAATAACTGTCTACTACTAGGCTGCTCCTATATATTATATACGTTACTAACTCTGGTCCCTTTTCTCTGTCACATATATATATACGCAGAGCTTCCAGAGACGAGTTTCACGCGCAGCATATCGAATCCCGAGGCGGTCATGAGGCGCCGCAGACAGCAGAAACTCGAGCGCAAGCTGCAGCAGTTCCGCAGCAAGGACGGCGGCCCGGACACGGGCGGCACGCTCAAGATTTACGGCGAGGCACTTTGCAAGGACGTGCCCTACAAGACGCTCCTATTGAGCATCCGTGACTCGGCCGCGCAGGTCGTCAGGGAGATGCTGACCAAGTACGGATTGGAAAAAGTCGATCCGCAGCAGTACTGCTTGATTCAGGTACGTGTAATTCTTAGCTCGACCACTACCTATACATAGATATATATTATATGGGTCAAAGCCCCCCCCCTTCATGACCGAGCTTGCAATTTCACTTCTCGGGATCTGTCAATTGAAATTAAGCGCTCGACCGATTCCTGAGAACGATCTCTAGCGAGCTAGGGATACGAGCTCGTGCGCGCGCGGCTAATGCAATCGAGCAGCGCGGTATTAATCAGACGTTTCGATCGCCGAGACCATACCCGATCGACAGTCGATGATTTTTAATAGACGACGACGACGAAAAAAAGGGAAAAATTCACGCTCGCTCGAGCGGACTTTGTGCGGGCGCGCGCCAAAGATACGCGCGATACATATCAAGCTCGGGCTCGGAAAAGCTTGCTATACCTACCATCGGATAGCAGCAGCAGCAGCGGTGGTAGTGGCAGGCTATTTTGCCGTGTCGGTAACGATGGATTCCGGCGCATATGCACAATCGATTTTTCGACGCGACGACTTTCGACGCGCGCGGACTCCCAACGACTTTGTGTGTAAACAAAAGAGAGAAAGAGAGGCAGACCATTGTTTGGCGCTTTTTCGAGCCTCGGATCGACGCAAATTGTTCTCTCGAGCTTGATTTCACTCCGACGGGAGCTTATGCATGTACAGAAAATTATTATCGCGCATGCACACATAGTACCGAGTGAAAACTAGGCTGAATTTGCTCTCTCGAGCTGCCGCCTATACATACGTTGGCTCGGGGCCAAGCAGAACCAGCCGCCTTCAGAGGAAACTTGGTTATTAACGCGCCTCCTTCACGCTCGTTCCACGAGAATTACATGCATTATTTGTGTTTTTTTTTTTTTGACGCGCAGGTAAACGGAGATGGCAACAGCAACGGCACGAGCGCCGGAAACAACAACACGGCCACGAATCAGGAGTACATTTTGGACGACGACGAGTGTCCTCTGGCCATTCTCATGAACAATCCGTCCACCAGAGGTGAGTGTCGCGCGTTATTACTATTATTACTTTCGCGTTTGTTTACGCGTCGGGTCGCGCGCGTATGCGTGCCTGTGTGAGAGAGAGAAAAGCGTAACTTTCTCGCGCGCGTGAATTGCGTAACGGCCCACAGCTCGACTATATATCCAAAGAGATAATCTCTCTTTTGCTAGTTGCAAAATTGCGTAATCGAAACTGCGCGGCAATTCCCTTTCATGTAGCGCGCGCGTGTCCGCTGTACAGCTCGTCCCCGGGAGTGTATATAGCGCGAGCTTAGAAAAATAATAAGCCTCGATTAAATTGAAGCCAGTGTACAGCGTCGGAGCAGCAGCAGCAGCGGCTCTCTCTATGTGCGCGGCGCATCGAGTGAATCAATTAAAGGATGACAAAGAGCTCGCGCGCTGCTAGACGTCGCCGCCGTTACTGCTGTATATAGCACAGCTAGTGCTAGCTCTCTTGATGAGAAAACAGGACCGATGCACATGCATATTCTATGCTGTATACATATATATTCCTGCAGCTTCCTTTGACCGCCGGCCACAAACGTTTATGCTCCGCTGTATAACAGACGAAGCGCGAGATTATATTTCGCGTTCGCGGCCTTGAGCCGCTGAAAGGTGAGTCATGATTAAAGGATTGTTCGCGCGCGCCCGCGAAAATGCCGCCTTCGCGCGCACCACTAGTACTACTGCTATATAGCCCGCAGAGTATGTATAGGAGCTTCGTTGTCGATTATTAATTTTGCGCGATGAAGGCGCTCTTTCGACTTGTTAACTTTCTCGATAATGCCCGAGCAGGCCGATATTAATTAACCATATTTATGTGGAAGTTATTAAATCGAATTTCCACTTGATTTCGTGGGAAAGCCGTATACCTTTTATTTTACAGCCGTCGATCCGTAATTCTTATATTCATAGAATGCCCGTTAGACGCAGGAGAATATAAAGTTTCTCGGTTTTTTGCTTTGTACTTCGTTGGAAAAATCCTCCTCCTTCTCCTCTTTTTTTTTCAATTTTTATTTTTTATTTTATGTTTGACTTTTCTTGAAAGATGTACAGTAATTTTTTTTTTTTACGAAACTTTGGCGAAAAAAATGTTTTAATTACCCTAGCAGTTATAACCATAAAATTTCACTCGTCCGTCGTCCCCCCCTTACACCGCGCTTTACACTCTTTTTTCTCTCTCGTTCGCTCTTTTTGTCAAGTGGTCCTTCAATTTATACGACTTTCTGTCGCGAGCATTTATAACTTACACACTTTTCTGGCCCCCCCCAACCCCCTGTAATTTTTTTTTTTGCTCGTCACTATATACATTTATACAGTTTTCTTTCGGTTCGAGTGTTCGTCGTCTCTCGCTCGAGTTAGTTTTTTATAAAAAAATTATTATAAAATAAAAAGTCGAACGCATTTTTTTTAATGGCAACGCGCTTGGCGCTCGCTCATTTCTATCGTAATAAATCGCTTCGCTCGCTCGAAACTTTCAGTCTTACAGCTCGACTTTTTTTTCGCCTTCCTTTTTTTTTCCAACAACTCGTCCACGGGAGCACAGAGGGGTGTGAGGGGGTGTATTCTTATACCTGCCACCCCCTTCCCTTTTCCGTTTTTTTTCCTGAACCGCGCGCGGGTTGCACTGCACCGAGTTAAAACGTATTCCAGAATGATTTAATTAAAGCAAAAAGGTATATGCGTGCGCTCACTGACAAGAGAAAGAAAAATAATTCGAGCCTGAGCGTTGGAAAAATAAAAAAAAACCGAAAGAGACAGAGGGAAAAGAAGAAAGCCCGCCAGTACCATCACAGGCGCTTAATTTTCACCTGTATAATGTACATAGTCGACATTTTCCAAGCTGCGCACACACACCTGGCAAAAGTTCGCTGAACTTTTAATGATATATTCTCGTTATCGCACGACGACGAGCCGCTCGACTAGTAGTACCTGTGTGTGTGTATGTGTGTATACGCGTTTGTGGGGCTGTGCGCGGCATTACAAGCTGGCTTCATTCCTCCGCATTTCGACATTCTCGGGAGCTGATAGAGGGTCGAGTTCCGTACTCCAGTGCAGCAGTGTTAGCTGTAAGAGCAAGAGATAGAGAAGAGAGAGAGAGAGAGCGCCGATACATAGCCGAGCGCGCTTAGAATTCAACCTCGCGAAACTATTCATCCGAGAGCTGCAGTAGCAGCAGCTCGGTAGCAGTACTCGAATAATCTTCGCTTTCAGTCGGCGTGCGTACATGTCAAACACGGGTCCGGCTCAAATTTATATATCTAACGCGCACCTATATAGCTCGAGGACTCTCTTTGAAACTTTGCGAGTGACACGTTATATACGCGTTATATGTATCGTTAGATATTTCTCTTCGTGCAGCCACTTAATTTTCTTCTGCTTTGGCAGCTCTCCTCCTCCTCTTCCTTCACGGCCGTCTCTCCGTCTATATAGCCCATATCTTCGCGTCGGAAATCTGTCTGCATTTTCGAGTGCTCTACTCTGTCTGTGTGTGTACGTATGCGTGTGTTTACGTCGACCCTCGCTCGCAGCTCGACTAACCCCATTTATATTTTTATAATGGCTCGCTCGTACATCTCTTTATTTCTCTTTGCCTCCGCTCGCTCGCGGTCGGAATAATCCTGCCGAGGAGGATGAGGAGGAGAAAAAGAACCAAGTAAAGAGAGGAATAGTTTGAAAATGGAAATTTTCCGTATGTTGAGTTAGCGGAAGATGAAGCTTGCACACTGCAGCCAGCAGCCAGAGACGGAGGAAGCAAAGGCTTTCACCCTGATGAGCTATTCTTTACTTGATTTTTTTGTCCGTGTCGCGATAGACGAGTGCAAGAGAGAGAGAAAAAGAAAAAGTGAGGGAAAGAGTACATGTCATCGCAGCGATAACAGCTCGGTGTGGTGGCAGTGCCCAAAGTAGCGCCGAGTTTTTTTTTCTTTATATTAGTAGTACTACTACCACCACTACTACTACTAGTCAACGTCGTTCGTGCTGCAATTTTGCGAACTGATTTCTTCTCGTCAGAGAGTGAGCGAGGAAAAGCTCGGGTTGAGTCGAGTGTATTTTTTGACACTAACGAAGCGACGTCCGATTCCCTCCTCCTATTAATTTGACGAAGACGAGGGAGAAAAAAAAACAACTTGGCGTGGAAGCGAAGACCGAAGAAATATTATATATTTTAATATTCCTCAACTATAAAAGTATATATCATAGTATAGGTGCGCATTAAAGCGCGGTGCAGTCGCACACGCATCCGGCCAACGGAAATCAATGGCTCACTCGCTTATTCTCCCTCTCTCTGCGCTCGCATATAATTCACTGATTCAGCTTCCGATCGAATGTGTAAACTTGTGCGCTCGTGTGCCGAGGCTACATGCTGTACACAAAAGCGCGTTACAACGTTTACAGATATATATATGTAGAGGCAGAGGCTGATGCTATATATGCACCACCTCATAGAGAATATACCATTTGCCACGTGCGGGAGCAGCAGCAGCAGCAGCAGCCACTTGTGTCGAACTTTACGCTACACTAACACGGCGCCTGGCGCGTGTTATTGTTAAAGTGAAGGAGCCTACACACATGCATCGATACACACAAGTTAGTGCTTAACACATTTACACCGTACACACACAGCCTACCTACAGCGTATATCTATATACACGCGGAGCGTATATACGGACAATGAGAGGCAGAAACAAAAGGTGTTGCGAATCCGAGGCTCGAGCTGAATTATGCACTCCAACGAGCGACGAATTAAAAAGTCGAGTCGGACAAGTGGAAGGAAATATACATCGACGTTTGACATATGCACACACACACACACACGGCTGATTAAAAAGTCTACTACGCTACTAGCGGTCGCTGCAAAGTTTGACGACCCTTTTTCTACTTTCTTTATTCTTCTTCTTTCTTTCTTTCTTTCCTTTTTTTATTCCGCTCCGCATTATTATCCGTATCCGAGGCGTGTGTGGAAGAAATGTACTACTACTCTTTTTCGTTTACGATACACACAGAGAGCGAGTGTGTCGCCTACCATGCTACGGCATGTATAGCGCGCGACAAAAAAGACGCTTTATGCTCGGGCTTCGGTTTGTGTTTTTTAATAGTCCCTCTCTCTTGGGCTCGTCCTTGTTTGCTAGCGCAAACTCGGGCGAAGAAAGCGCTGAATGCAAAAAAGCTCGGTAACTGTCCTCTTTTGTGTACGCGACCTCTCTATCTCTTGCCTTTTTTTTTCTTACTCGTTCGTTTTATTATTTATAGAGATTCGCGAGAGAGAAGAGAGACCGTCTTATTCAGCGCGCAGATATGAAAGATCGCGTGGCGTAGGTAGATGCTGAAAAACGAATGACGCGTGCGGTGCTACACGTGCTAATGCGTGTCTATTTTCGGATCTCTTAGCTGAGATTCATTAATCGAAACACGATCCGTAATCTCGATCCGTGCATCCGTACCAAAAATTTTCCCTTCCAGCTCGAAAAATCTCGAAAGACGCGCGGCAAAAAAAAAAAAACATTCGATTTAGCGGCGCAGTCAATCGATATATCGCTTTTCAAATCCCCAAATGCCACTCTTGGGTAAGAATTACGATCTGCACTCGAATTCTCCGCGTTACGACAGACATTCTCTCTCTCTCTCTTTCTCTCCCTCGCAGACGCTCTTCTACTCTCTATCTCGTCTATATACAATGCCACTATTGGCTGCTCTTTAAGCTCTCTTTTGCTACATGCTCGCATCGTCGTCGTCGTCGTCGTAGTCGTCGGAGGGTTGCACTTGCACGAGCACGAGCAGATACAGTGTCGGTGGTGTGGGTGAGGAGGAGTAGTGCTTCGAGCCAGAGCACAAGAGTCGGACACTGCGCAGTAGTAGCGAGGAGAGAGAGAGTGAGAGAGGAGGAAAATATTTTGAGGCGCTGGTGGTGGTGGCGGCGGCGGTGGTAGTGGTGGTGGTGGCTTCTACCGTCTATATATACCAGCCCACCCTCTCTCTTCGCTATTGCGGCATCGA